TGCCACGCCCAAGTGATTCACTTCGCCAAGGTAGTAGCTTTGATCTGCCTCTATGTTTTCGACCATCCCATCTGGACGCCATAGCAGCAGTCTTTGGTGCATCGATGAAGGCACAGCGCCTACACCATGAATCCACTCACGGCCTAACAAAAGGTTGTAGTTAGGTTTGGCCGAGATGACCATGAACATCGTTGGTCGAAGGATAGACCCAACTTTGATATCTAGCTGGATCACTCCCATGGTGGTCCCAATGCCGCCCTCATAGTTCGACAGGACCATATTGTGAGGTTTGATTTCCTCATCTCTTTTGCCAATCTTCCTTAGCATGGAGTGAGGGATAATATTGATAGTTGCCCCACAGTCGACCAATATTTTGTTCACAGTAGTCTCTTCGAGCTTAGCCCTTATGAACAAAGGCTTGAGGTGATTCTTCATCGCCTCTGTAGGTGGCTCGAAGAAGCCATTTTGTTCCTCTGTAGTGCCATTGTCCATGACAAAATAGCACACTGGCCTATGTTTGGCCATTTCTTGTTCCACCTCCCAGTCACTTGCTTCGACTTCTACCTGTCGATTGAATTCCCTGGGCAGCACTGAAACAATATTCACCATTATATCCAAAGTATCGTCGGACTCAGCATCGTCTTCGTCTTCGACTTTGCTTTGGTTAGGCCAAACCAGCCTGTTGGTAACTGGTTCTCTCTCTAGAGGCTTCCTTTGTTTCCTTTGAGGAACATTCGAACTAGTTTCCGCCTTAGGTTCGTTGGCAGCCTCCCTTTCAGCTTTTCGCCTCCTTTGATATCTCCTCCATTGGGATCGAGACATAGGATTTTTACCCTTGTAGTTGCTGGACACTTGAGCAACCTTAGGTGCAGCAACTTGAGGCTCTTTCTTTTGAGTCAAAGAGGAACCTCTTGGCACATCGAAAGAATGCCACTTCTCTTCATTTGGCCTTTTTCGGCCAGAAGTTTTGTACCAAGTGTCTACTGGTACATTTGTTGGAGGCCTAAAAGTCAATGGCCTCTTGTCTTGATTAGAACCCCTTCTGGGATCATGTCGAAGGTCAGCACTCTCCCTTCTCTTGTTCGCTGCTCTCACGCCTTGAATGTGCTCAGCAGCTTTTTTATCAAAGATTGAACTGCATCTTGGACACAGCATTACCTCTGATTTCTTTTTCTGGCATCTTTGTAAAAAATCTGCCAAGTTTTCGTTTTCCCGTGGGAAAGCCGTCTTATTAGCCTGCTCTTGCCTTATGGCCTCTTCTGATGCTTTTGGATCAGAAAGTTCAACCATGTTGATATTCATTGTATCTTTAGTAGCAAGAGTTAATTGCTTCATTTGTGTCTCCAGATTCTCCGTCTGGCCTTGAACAGTGGCCAAGTGGGAACTGGGCTTTGGTCCAGTCTTTTGTGCTTCAGCAGTCTTCGACTTCGGGCCTTCGACCGCTTCCTGGACAGCTTCAATTGTCTTCCTGGATAAATTTCCAGAAAAACTGCCAAAGATTGGCATGTTGATGTGGTCCTTTGAGACTTCGACCATAGTAATTCCTGGCTTCTTCGACTGGATCCTGGTTGCCTCTATCATGTTCACCTCAGAGGGTTCTGCATAGTGGGCTTCAGCCTTCAGTGGATTGGAGTCGACAGCCATGGGGGATTTGTCAGCAAACTTTAATCTCCCTTCCTCAATAGCGTCTTGCACAAGATTCCTGAAAATAAAACATTGAGAAGTTTTATGGCCCAAAAAATTATGATATTTGCAAAAACCTCTCTTCTTTCTTTGATCAAGAGGAGGCACTTTTACCCCAGGGGGTACTATCATTTGGCCATCTTTAACTAGCAAGTCGAATATTTCATCACATTTTGTGATGTCAAAACTATAGGTCTTTTTTGGGAACCTATCGTTGGTCCTGTCTGGACCAATGGGATTTTTCCCATTTGAGGGGACTAACTGTTTACAAGAGTATGGAGGCCCTTGTTTTAGTTCTGCTAAATCGACTTCTCCTTCTTCGACAGTTAAAGTATCGTCGAAGGATTATAGATCTTCGTCATCCATCTCAACGTACGCTATTCTCTCTCTCTTGTGAGTTTTCGTTGCCTTAGCTTTTTCAGCTTTGAGGCGTTCGACCTGTCGAACTCTATCGGCCAGTTGGGCCATGTCTCTTAGGTACTGGGTGTCTAGCTTCTTCCTAATGGCATAATCTAAACCACCTGCGGCTATTTCGACCAACTCATGTTCTGGCACTTGTGTAAAACATCTCGCCTTGAGCAACCTAAACCTATTCAGATATTCGTCTATAGGTTCAGTGAAACGTCTCTTCACACTGGCCAGTTCTTTCAGGCTTATCTTGGTTTGCCCCATGTAGAATTGTTCATGGAACAATCTTTCCAACTGGGTCCAATGATGGATCGAATTAGGGGGGAGAGTTGTAAACCAAGTAAAAGCGTTCTTGGTTAAAGAACTTGGGAAGTACTTGATCCTTAGGTTTTCGTTATTCGAAATGTCTCCTGCTTCGATCAAGTATCTTGCCACATGTTCGACAGTAGATTCTGTCGTGTCCCCAGAGAACTTAGTAAATTTGGGGACTTTGCATCTAGGAGGTAAGTCCGTTTGTAACACATATTCTGACAATGGAGATGTAAAGTTGGGCCTTCGAAAGCCCATGTTCATCCCATTCTGAGTCATGATCCTTTCGATCATGGTTGCCAGATTGTTTTCCAAACCCATGTTTTGGTATTGGATATGCTGAACCACTTCGTCAGCATTTTGGTTTCTGTTAACTAACCTAACCTCTGGGGCTATTACCCTAGGTTCTTCTACAGGTTGTTCGACAGGCTGTTGAGCCTGGTTAATGGTGGTTTCTTCCTCTACAAATATCCCCTGATTTCCCCTTATTTGCGCCCTTTGGGGCTGTCGAATAGGTGGGGGCACTCCAAAGAAATCAGCCAAACGCGTCATCTGCGCTGTAACTTGCTGATTCGATTGAGTAGTGTTTTGTATTAGAGGGTTTAGCACTGTACTCAAAGTTTGTGCCAACATTTGCACCATATCATGGTTGCTTTCGTCCATTTGTTGCCTCAAGACCGCTGTCGAGGCATTTGTAAGGCCATGGGCTACTTGGGACGTTCCTCCTAAGAGTTGGGTCCTATTTCTATTCGCCATGCCTACTCCAGAGCCTTGGAGTGGCGAAGAGGCACTCACGAAAGGGTCTGAAAAAGTGGACGCAGCATTCGTCAGGCTTGCCACTTCAGAAGTTGGCATACCATAGAATGGAATAAATCCTGGGGGAACCACAGGCCTTGGGCCTATATTTCCCCTTGGTGGGGGAGTTCCCAAAGGTATCCTAGGGGCTGTTAACGAAGTTATTGGCCCCGTGGTTGTGACCGACACTGCTGGTGTCGAACCAACGTTTGTCGCTTCACTTACGGTCATACTAACCGTTGCTCCCACACTCGTTTGTGGGATTTCATTATTGTTTGGCGGATTCGCCATCTCTTCCCTTCTTCTGGCAGTATTGTTATCGTTGGTGTATATTCTACCACTTCTCAATAACATACAAATCGAAAAGATGAGATTTTTTTTTCAACAATCAACACACAGTCCCACCAGGTGTGCCAATTTGTTTACCTTGGGTTTTGGTAAACAACCGCTGATCCTCCAAATGGTTACTTATTTGGTTACTCGCAGGATCGATCAGATTGATCCTATGGACATAGGTTGATTTTGAAGTTTGATTAAGGTGGATAAGGCTTTAAATAAAAGGTTTCAAGTAAATTGCATAAAGGAAAGGCTTGGTAAAATAAACAAGGCTTTAAAGTAAAGGTTCGACAGGAAATGTAAAGAGAAAAGCAAGTAAAATTCTGGGAAAGTAAATGACTTTAATTGATAAAATTGGTGTTTCACACATACATTTCTCAACAATTCTTTCTCACACGCTGGGTACTCGAATCTAAATGAGTGACTTTGTATGGAATAGTGAACACACGCGAGAAACTACATGTCTACTCCTATTTATACTAAACATTCCAAGTAACTGTCGGGCAGTTACACTGCTTCGAGATCAATCCACTTGGCACGTTCTCCATGCTCGACGCTCCAGATCCTTGCACGTTTGCACGTAGTAACTGCTGGAAACAGTTTTCCCTCCAAAGCTTTGAATTTCAAACTACTCCACTCTGGACCATCGAACACTTTCATCAAGAGATGTCTTCGACGAAAACTCCTTCGACGTCGAAGGCAACCAGCCTTCTTCCTTGGGAGAAATCTTCTAAGTATTTTACCATCTTTCGACAGGCACTTCGACAGGCTTAGCCAGTCGAAAGCATCTTTCAGCTTTTAATGGCTGACATAGATCAAAACAAAGGTGTCGAATTTAGGAGCCAACACACACACAGTTAGTAGTCAGTAGTCAAAGATTATAAGCTTTTACTAACACTCAAAGATATCAGTAGACACAGTCATATAAGGTTAAAGGCCATATGCCATACCAAATGCTTCAACATGTGTGCACACAATAATATTTAGTACTACTCAGAACACCAGTCAGTACTAATCACTACTGGATATATCATTTGAACCTCATACCCCACAAAGTCAGTAGTCAAGATATTAGTTACACCCCTCCACAACACATACAATTACTCCCCCTTTTTGCCACAATTTGGCAAATGAGCTCCTCATAGAAATCATTTAGTCAACATTGAGGTTAGTATGTTAGCCATACAAAAATCAGATAAAGAGTAGACAAACCTTAACCAATAACACATATGTTAAACACGATGCTAGAGCATTAGTTCTTGACATTCAACACTGGTGATACTTTGTTCAGAAGTGTAGGTAAGAGTTAAAGTTATAACACTATTACAACCCAAAAAGTACCCATGTAAGGGCACAAATACATTTGAAAAGAAAATAAAAAAGATGTAGTTTAATCAGCAGCCAACTACATCCAACACCATATGTCAGACCAGATGTTTGGCTCATCCTGGTTGACAACATCAGATAACTTACTCTTCAGAGTTGTCCTCCACTTCTTCACTTCCAGATTCCTCTTTTTCACTCTCATCTTCTTTTTCGTCACACTCTTCATGGGTCAACAACATAATAAAGTCATCCACCTTATTCTTCCTGATGGTGCTTGAAGTGATTGTTGCTTGTAAAGTCTTGGACACTTCCATAAGTTCATGTAGAACATCCTCTTTGGTGGATTTGGACATAGAAGAGAAATCCCCACTAGCCGCATGACTTTTGTTTCTTGGCACCACAATGTCTAGGACACACATTCCAATAAAGAGCCTATAGTCCAAAGTTGGTGGACCTGGCATTTTTCTCTAGATTTTATCAGTATGCACTATGTTGGGTGTTGCTTCAATATGATTCCAGTGATTAAACAGTGAAAAGCAATGGGAAGTGATTCAACATGTGGTTCCACATCTTTAATATGTTGATCATCTAGTGATTCAACACGTGGTTCCACATCTTGCTCTTTACTATTGGTTTTACCAAGATCAATTTTATTTCCACTGAAGTTGGGTTCAATTTCCTCAGCAACATTCACAATTTAAACATGATTATTCAAAGAAGGTTGTAATTTTGAGGTACAAAACTTTTCAGATGAGGTATTATTTTTGGTTGCATCATTCTTTGATTATCTTGTTGAAATATCCACCAGAATAATCATCTCCATAGGTTTTGGGTCTAACTACATGATGATATCATCATCAATGTTGTTGTTATTTGAAACCCTAGTTCTTTTTATGATCCTTTATTGCTCATTTTAGGACATGATTGAGGGTTTTAAAGAAAATGAAATGGAGTTTTGAAGAAAATGAAATGGAGAAGATGTGCTAGCATAATAGATTGATAGAAACTAATTGCGACAGAGGAAAAAGTGGTTGTGAGAAGATATTTTTATCAATTTAGGTGCCACAACAAACACATGAGAGAGAAAATTTCCTTTTAATTCTTCACACCTCCCTTGAGTTAATATCCATAAGTTTTCACACATAAAAATGTCAACGATTCTCTTTTTCTTTTCAGACCCATACTTGCATTATGGGATTACTTGAAACTTCAGAAATTTAGTGGCTTTCTTTCTTAGTCTCATTACAACTTCACCCTTCACATGTTGGACAAAATGTCCTAACATCTGGTATCCATAACTATTGGATATCATGAGTTTTTCATAATCATTCTTAACACATAAAGTTTCATTTATTTATCCTATGTTTCCAACGTGCATTAACTCCAGGCTCATTGAAGAGGTATGTTGCTGGAGCGTCGTGTCATTGTGTGAGACTTCTTATTCTGCAGTATTTTGGTTTTATCTTCCAAGCTTGTTGAAGGATGATTATGTATCCATATATAACAATTTTCCTTAGACATTGAGCCTTTCATTATGACTTTATGAGCTTTGTTGGTAACACTATATTCAGTCTTATTGAATTCCACCTTCAAACCTTGATAACATAGTTAACGTATGTTGATCAAGTTTGCAGCAAGACATTCTACTAACAGAACTTCATCAAGGCTAGGGAAACCTGGTCCAACCATTTTTCCTATGCTTTTGATATTTCTTCTAGCTCCATCACCAAGAGTAACATACATGCTAGAGTAGGTTTTTAACTCTTTAATATAGCTCCTTTCACAAGTCATATATTGTGAACATCCACTGTCAAAATACTAAACCTCTCTATAAGATCATATAAGAGAAACATGAGTTAAGAGACACTTGACAGATTCCTTGGGTTTCCACACTTTCTTAGCTTGAGTATTCTTCCATTTTCTTTTGTTGAGCCTTAACTGACTATAGGATTGAGGATAACCATACAATATATAGCAAAAGGTCTTATATGACCATATCTACCAAAGTGGTGACATCTCTTAGCAGAGTTCTTATAACCTCTGTGTTGAGGGTACACGTGTCGAGCCCGGTGCTAAGACATATGGTCCACCATCTGAGACATAGTATTCATTTTAGGAGGGACTTTGATCTTTTAATTCATGGAAATGTAGTCAACCCTACATCCTTCACATTCCCTTATAAGACATCATCCAACATATATGAAATTTTGTTCACATATTCAAGTTTAACATTCAGTAAAGTGATTTCTTCTTCCATACCCATGATGGTTGAGACATACTTTTATTTTTCTTCATGAAATGCACTTGTGGTTTTCTTTTACTTTTCAACTATTGTATGTGCTTTTTTTTTCTACTTAGTGTGCAGAAGTATGAAGGTTGCAACTAGCTCTTCTTCAGACATGTCTTCATCACTCGATTCTTCCTCGGACTCATACTTTCCAATAAAATCCATTACTTTGTTGGCACTTTCTTCTTCACTTTCATCATCAGATTCAAACCAAGTGACTGTCAATCCTTTTTTTGTTTCTTTAGAAAATTAGGGTATCCAGCTTTGATGTGACCAAAGCCTTCACATTCGAAATATTTTGGTCATTTTAATAGTCTTCCTTTTTCTCTTGTACTGAGGACAAATGTCTAACTCTCTATCTTGCATATTTGTCCTCCATTGTCTATCCAGTCTTCTCAAAGATTTGATGAACTTTCTTGCAATTTAAGCTATAGCATCTGACAGTCTTTCTTCAGTATCCTTATCATTTTTATCTTCCTTCTCTTGATTATTGGATAAAAAAAGCAAAAACAATTAAGGTAATTATTTTATTAAATTAAAATAATTTTTATGATTGTTTTTTTTTTTTACGATAATAATTTTTATAATTGTTTCCAATTTCTAAGGAGAAATAATATTCTTACGATCAATTGTGACACTTAAACCATAGTTATACAATTTTTTTTATCATGATTAATAATTATTTTTTTCTTCTTTCTTACACAAATAACCCATACTCCTAGGCTGTATTTTAATAGTGTTGAGATAAGGCGAATATCTGAACCAAACTAAGTAAATAGAGATGTAGAAGAGAGTGTGAGAGTGATTTATTTCTCTAAAGGAAATATTGTGTTCTTTCATACACCTAAGGTATGCTATTTATACTACATGAAGTGTAACTATTCAAATAATATAATAATACATATAACTATTCTAAGTTGACAAGATTTTATATATAATAGATATTCACTATTCACAATATATTTCAAATAGTAAATATAATAATTTATTATTATTATAACACTCCCCCTTTTGAAATATTTTTCCATGGTGCTCTGTTGAAGTCTTGTTGAGGATAGTTAGGAGAACATATGGTGCCTTGTTAAAAACCTTATTAGGAAAAACCCATTGGAATAAAAATCTTAATAAGGGAAAAAGAGTACAACGTTATGCTCCCCCTTAATAGAACACATTAGTTCTTCTTCAAATATCTCGAATGTATCGCATTCCAATATTTTGTAAGTGCTTCCCGAAAATTGATGTGGGAAGTGCCTTTGTGAATAGATCCTCCATATTATCACTCAAACGAATGCATTGAATATCAACCTCTTTGTTTCTTTCGAGTTCTTGTGTGAATGAGAAGAACTTTGGATGGATGTGCTTGGTTCTATCTATTTTAATGTAACCTTCTTTCATCTGGGTAACACATGCAACATTGTCTTCATATAAAATTGTTGGATTTTTATCTGTTGTTAAACCAGATGCTCCTTTGATATGTTGAGTCACTAATCTTAACCATCTACACTCTTTGCTTTCTTCTTGAAGGGCAATTACTTTATCATAATTTGAAGAAGTTTCTACAAGTGTTTGTTTTTGAGATCTCCATGATATTGCAGTGCCGCCATATGTAAACACATATCTAGTCTGTGATTTAGCATTATGTGGATCTGAAAAATATCCTGCATCCACACAACCAAGCAAAATTGGTTTTGTATTGTTAAAATAAAACAATCCAAGAATAAATGTACCTCTGAGATATCGAAATATCTATTTTATTCCTTTTCGATGTCTCTTTATAGGACATCTACTGAATCTTGCTAGTAAATTCACTGCAAAAGACATATCAAGTCTTGTATAGTTGGCAAGGTACATGAGTGCCCCAATGGCACTGGGGTATAGCACTTCTGGGCCAAGATCCTCTTCATTACTTTCCTTAGGCCTAAAAGGATCCTTTTCAATATTAAGTGTCCTACCCATCATTGGACTACTCAAAGGGTTTGCCTTGTCCATGTTGAACCTTTTCAACACTCTTTATGTATAATTTGATTGATGTACCAATATACCATTCTTAGTATACTCAATTTGTAAACCAAGGCAGAATCTAGTTTTTCCCAGATCTTTCATTTCTAACTCTTTCTTCAAATAATTTCTTGCTTATTTGATTTCTTTATTAGTCTCAATGATATTTAGTCATCAACATAAACAATAATTATTACAAATTCAGATATTGTTTTTCTTATAAAAACACAAGGGAAAATGGGATTATTATCATATTTGTTGTACCCCAAAGTTTTCCCTCCCATTTTCTTTAAAACATGCTCACAAAGATCTCAAATACTCAAGGCTACTCAAGAGTTGATTGGTCAAACCTCCTCCTAAGCAAAGATCTTCAACTAGGGTTTGGTGTTTCTCAAATAAAATTGGTTTGAAAGGGTCTCAAATGACTTACATGGTTGATCGTAGGTCCTCAATAATGCTTATGTCAAGTTTCAAGCCTTGCATCATAAATTTGCTTAGTCAATTGCTCAGATACTGAAAATCAACCGCATTGGGTAAAAAGTCAACTATGGTAAACATAGAGTCAAACTTCAAGATTTTTTGTCAATATCAACATTTTGAGATGATATTCATCATTTGATTAAGGGTGGACCATGATCCCTTTAGGAAAACCCTCAAGTCATCAAAGGTCAAAAATTGCCAAGTCAGGGTTTTGACTGAGGATGACTGATCATTGACTTTTGGCCTAGTGAATGATATAATGGCTTGAAGTATGGTCCCAAGAACTCAAATACAACATCTTGACCTAATTACATGGCTTAAAACATTTCGAAAGATACAAGTGATTGATAGTTGAAGAATTGAACCAATTGAATGAAAAGTCAACATTCACTCAAAAATCAAACTTTGACTTTTTGGTCAACATTGGAATTCAAAAGTCAAGAATCATAAAGATATTAAAAACTATCAAACTTGATCATCAAGAATCAAAAAGTCAACAAAAGTCAAATTTGGAAATTTTTCTAACACTTAGAAAAATTCAAAGTGTTTTTGTTCTTAACAAAACTCCTAACTTCATAGTAATTTTTCACTAAGATCCAAGTTGATTCAAAGAAAACTTTCAACATGAAAGTTGTAGGGATTGATGAATTCTACATCTTTGTAAATGAGGGTTGATTTCCAAAAAGTTCTTGGATT